ATTCTAAATAAGCATTTTTTTCTTCAGCCTCTCAACTCATAATGTTCAAGATGTTACAGCAATTCTACCTCTACTCAAAGCTCCAGTCAATATATTGTATAAAAATTATTATACACTACTATGAGTATCAGCTGTGAGGACTAAAAATAGTTATCTGCATATCAATTCCATAACAAAGATGGAAGACTACAGTGCATCAGCTATGTTCTCCACCTTCAGAAAGACTACCTGTCTTTACTTTTCTCTCTTAAAAAAACCAAAAAACAACAAACAAAAAAAACCCACCCCAAACTATAATATGAACCGCAAACTCCTTTGGGTAAGAAAAACTTGCATATATTATTTTTCTATTAAACTTACATCACATTTATTGACCAATTTAATTCTCAGCAGGAAAAAAATGTTTCTGTTGCCAACTACCAATTAAGAATATTCACAGCAATAGGATTATCACTACATTTATATTACCTGACTTCTTACAGAGAAAAATTACATTGATGGATTGGTGAGAAGTCTAGAATAATAGAAACAGTAGTGCTATATAATAAAGACAATCAAATACAAAAGTTACTGAATTGCTAAGAAATCAAAAAAATTAATTAGCATGCTGCATATATAAATAGACTCCAATCATATCAACAATGTGAAATACACTAATTCAAGATGATTTCTGTAAATACAATGTTTAATTTTCCATTGAGAACAGGAATGACATCTACTATGTTTCTTATCTTTCCTTTAAAATATTCTGAGGAATTTTTGTTTTGCTTTTGTTTTGTAGTACTGATAAACATGCCCAGTGTGCAGTATTTTAAGCCATTCCTTTATATGAAAGGAAAATATCTATCCCATTCTCTACTGTTTCTGTTAATACATATGGTGTTAACAGAATTTAAAATACACAAAAAAAAATTCTTGAGTCACTATGTTACAGTCTAAAGACTTCCTGTGAAAAATACAATAAAAAGTCAAGGGAAATGAAGAGCCAAAGATAACTACTTTCTCTTCACATGAATAATGAATATGAATCAAACAGATATATGTGATCTTGGCCATCTCATGACACAGAAATATGCTGAAAGTATGCCTTTGTTTTTTGGAAAAGCTACTGGAAAACTCAACCAAAGTACAGAAGAATTTAAACTTCTCAGTCTAACAGCAAAAGAAATAATAGCCTAATCTGATTAGATGAGCCCAGATTTGACCGAAGGCACACTAAAAGTGTACTACAGTCTAACAGACAACTCTACCTTTGTAAGGCATTTCTTATTAAAAAATTAATTTTGAGCAAAATGCTGACATGCCATACTTTGTAATATTTTGTATCTTTTCAAAATAAAGGAAACAGAAAGGCCTTTAGTAAAATATCTGACTCTGCCCAACCTTAGGAGAGACAGGTTTTTTCTTCCAAGTACTGTAAGTATACACAGGCTAAACAATACTATGTATTTTTCAAAATCAGAGTACACTAACTAGAGTACGGTAAGTTCTGCCACAGACAACTGCAAGAATTCCACAGGTAAAAAGATGTTTTTTACATCAGAAAAACAAAGGATTGAAGAAAGCAGAGTATGCATTTCCTGTGAGTAGACAGACAATCTTTACTAACCTTTCAAAAGCCATAATGTGTTGCATAGTTAAAAAGTTATGTCAAAAGCCAATGGACTATAGGTAATTTTGATAGAAAGAATTGTATTGACCTCTCTGAAGTTAATTCAGGTAAGAAGCAGGGAAAAAGACTTCATACAGTTCGTCTAGCTGAAGAGAAGGCAAACAGCTGTGTATATGACACTATAGATGACAGTTACAATACTTCAACAGCTGATTTAAAAAACAATCTGGCTGTTCTGATGCCAGAGCACCTTTGCAAGACCAACTGAAGTAACTTAGTGGAGAAAACATAATAGCGCATTGCAACAAAACAGTTATGAAAACGAACATGCAGGAGACAAAACCTTACAAGTAAGGCAGACTCATGGACTCACAGTGCAGAAAAAACAGGCATGCTGTCAACCCATGTATACAAGTAGGCTCCAAGTAAATATTCAGGGTATGGCAAAATTAGGAATTTGGTCAGAAGGGTCTGTGATCCATTCAGGGGAATGAATTCGGACTCATGCCAAGGGCTTTATACTGATGGCTGCAACGTAAAAGGGAACAGAGTTGTGTGGCTATGGTTGAAAGTGAGATTTTTATCTAGACTGATCAGATTTGGACACTGCATATATGAACATGGGGAAATGCAAAGAAAGGATACAAGTTGGAAAACAGTGAAAATACATACATGCATTTCACAGTAAGAGCAGTCTGGTGTCTCTCAGTCAAATAACAAACACCATTAGTAAGAAAAAGGGAAACGCCTCATCCACAATTAACTTCAAGGCAGTATCCCTTTGATGCTCATATAGCTGTTTTTGTTGGTTCACCAAAACAAACAAGGAGCACTTTAGAAGAAAAGTGTCATGGGATGGTGATAGGCTTTATGGAATTATTTTATCTTCCATCAGAGTGTATACAACAATAATAAAAATCAATTAATTAAGGAGTGGAATATAAACTAAATATATATGGGTGTGAAATACATGACAAGAGAATGTCTCTTCAAGACTAAGACCGAAAGCACCAAGTTCCTCAAATCTTACAAGAAAAATCTATCTATGATGGGTTGATCTTGTACCAGCAGCCAAGCATCTTCACTGCCATTCAGTCCCCCAGCCCTCTCCAGAGGCACAGCAGAGAGAATATGAAGAACAAAAAACCTCATGAATACAAATAAAGGTAGTTTAATAAGCAAACGGAAGAGGGGAAAAACCCCGATGTAGAAGCTAGGGCCCAGCGGTCGGAAGGTATCGGGTTGTAACGGAAAAACAGTCACCCCCCTCCTCTACAGTGTATGGTAATGACCCCCGTAATTAGCCAATAGCACCGAGCTGTGATGAAAGGAGATGAGAATAACAGTGTGAACCTAGGTTATAAAGTGTCAAATTCTCCAGCAATAAATGCCATTTCTGCCATCCATCACATTGATGCCTGTGTGCGGGTTTGGACCGAGTGGCCTGAGCGTGGCCACTGTGCTGCTCTTGAACCAGGGTGTCTGCCTTGCTAGGCAACACCCCAACTAAATTACAACAAAACAAGTCATGCAAAGGCAACTGCTCGCTATCTCTCACAAGCAGAATGATGTCCTGTCAGTCTCTGAGACATGGCTCTCTCTCTGGGACCAAGCCCTCTCTGCTCAGTTTTTATTGCTGTGCAAAAACGTTACACAGCACGGAATATCCCTTTGGTCAGTATGGGTCACTGATACTGCTTGCACCTCCTCTCAACTTCTTACCTACCCTGGGTCTCTTTACTGTGTAGGAGCAGAACAAGAAAAAAGGAAAGACTTGATGGTGTGCAAGCACTGGCAACAACCCAAATACTGGTGTGCTATTAATGTTGCTTTAGTCACAAACCAAAACACAGCACTATATTGACCACTATAAAGAAGATAAGCTCCATCTCAGCGAGACAGTACAATATCTGAAGGCGTTTTACTTCAAAGAATTCTCAAAATGAACATGGAACTCTTTTGGGAATTGGAATCCCTTGGGATTTCTTCATCTAATGTGTAAACTGCACAGCACAGGAGGGAAAGTGCTTTAAATAATCAGGGTGATAACTGAAGTCATCAAATGTTCTATCCTCTTCTGTTTATCCTTGAGATTCCAGAACACTGATGATAAGTTGAAGCCTAAATGTGAACCCTGAGATTTGTTTACTTAATTCAGAGAACGTCTAAGCCCTGAATGGTTGGAGGTCTGTGATAGATTGGACAAGGCTAGACATCATGAACTTGTCAGCTGAAGTAGGAAGAAAGTGGTGGAGGAAGAGATGAGACACTAAGTAAAAGAGTATTAAGTGTTCAAACAAAGTCTGTGGAAGAAGCTAAAACTTTTCTGGAAAATTTAATATTTACCTGTGATGCTTTAACACAAAGTCTGAAAGAGGAGCTGCCAACTGCCTTAGAATATGAATTGCTGTAAGTTAAAGCAGCATGTCTGTTCTAACAGGGAAAAAATGCTTTTCAGCTCATTTTTAGGAAAAATCTAGCATACATCAAGAAAGGTATTCAGATGAATTTCTGGTACCTCCTCATAGCAGGTGACCTGTATATTGATTCTTCAACAGAGATTCCAATTATCTTGTTAATATGCAAATATAGAGCAGCCCATAAAGACCATGGAAAACAATGACAGTGAATGAACCCCTGTTCTGATAACTATGGAGAACTGTGGACTGCTTGGACTAAAACTACTGGTAGATTTGAGGCAGTTGTACCACATAATGATTTGCAGAAAAAGCTTATGAATGTTGCAATGCGTTAAACTTTCTCAAGTATATTTACTGAAGCTTTATTAAACTTCACTTTTGCTTTCATATTTCATGAAGCCCAGTAAAATAGTACAGTTACTTTATAAACCATTAGTTGTGTCTCTGAGATACAAAAAAATTCTATGATCAAAAATACAATATATTGTACCACATACTTTGCCAAAATCTTGTCAATATGAGTTTCTACGTCACAGTGACACAAGCATATCTATATGATATGATAGCACAGACATGATGATTATGCACTGTATTATCATTTTTAATGAAAAAGGAGAGTTAATTGACAATATTAGACATGGGGAATATAGAATTATCCTATTAGAGATACAGAAGGAAATGTAGAAGCTTCAAAATTAATTCACGTAACACCAGGATTAACCTTTGTACTAGCTGCTGATGCTAACTGAATTCCCAAAATACAACAGATTATAGAAACATATTTGTAGGTGCTTTACCTTATCTCTGGTAATCACCATGCATACCATTAATCTTAGGAGAGGATGAACTGCATAGTTTTTAATAAGAAGAATTGCGTATCTCCACTCAATTCTTATAAAGCCAACAATCCACAGCAAAACACTACGTACAGCTAACTAACCCAAAGCCTCCCCTTTTAGATTACAAACCTTAATTTATCTGTTCCAGTTTTGTACCTCGAGATTCGAGCCATCGACAGAGGAACTGATAAGGCGTCTAGCCAGCGCTTCTCGTATTTTGGTTCATTAGCTATGGGTGAAGAAGGTGATGATGGAGCCTGTGCAGAATAAATGAGAAACAGTAGGAGAGCTTATAAGACAATATAGTGAGAAACCTATGAATATGCATCTCTGGCTCTGTCTCAGAAGTGAATAATCATCACAATAAAAGTATTCAAGAAACTCAGGATGGAGCAGATAAATGAAAACCCATATGTTAACCACCTGGATATTTTGTTCTTGATGCAATTTCAGTATTACTTCAACATTAAACATATTTATATTTTTGTTAATATTAATCATTGATACTAGAAAAGAAAGAGTTTTCAGTCATAAATGCAAAGATTTCTTTCTAAATGCAACATAATACATATTTGTAGTTTAAATTAATTTTTTCTGTACAACTCTTTTGCATGCTTCCTTCATCAGAGAAAAGGATAAATAATATCCTTGTTAAATACTACACTAGGAAATTTATTTGTGCATTGTGACTTTTAGCCATCATTTAACAGAATTAAAATTCTGATTTCTGTGTTATCATACTACAGATGGATGACTTTTGAAATTTTATCTTTGAAGTCTTTCTTCACATGCCTCTACTGGAAAGACAAGAGATGAGCATTTCACTCTCTTATAAAGATAGCAGTAAAATTTACACAAAGGAGGCCGAGAAAAATTCACAGACATACATATTTAGGCCAAAGTTAGGTATTTGTGCTGTTTCTGAAACAAAATTTTTTTATCCCAAACTGTGTGGAGAACTTTGCAGCAGAGAACAGAGCTGAAAGTTTATTTTTATATGAGCTGGAAATAAGCGCTGAATAGTATATATGAAAGGGAAGAAACCACAGAATGACCCAAATTCAGTTCTGTTCCACCCAGGTGTTCAAAAGCCATAAAACTTACTCAAAATAAAATGCATTCTGGGAATTGCCTATTTCTTTTTTTTTAGTCATAAGGATTTAGGATTATTTTTTTCCCCCTAAAGCTCTTTCTTACAGTCAACAAGAGCTGATCTTTGTATTTACTTCTTTAAATAAATCAAAATAGTGAGTTCACAGTCTAACAAGATGACTGAGGCTTAATGGCTGAAGTACATTTCCTAGTAAATGAAAAATTTATAATGAAATTGCTGGAGTTGGTAACACTAAGGAATGTTTTACACAGCAATCTTTTTGGGGACAAAAATTTCATTTAGAACGCTTCGTATCCCTAGAACCATACAGCTTTCATTTGACTGAGATCTCCTGGTATTTTTTGCAGGATGAGTATTTCATAATCAAGTCCACAGACTAATTTTGTTTTATGAAAGTAGACACAAAAGGCTAAGGTTTCTTTAAAATCTAGAATAAATTTATTAGTATCACAATCAAGAATATGATACATATTACAGAATTCTGCACAAACTGAAATAATTGGCAAAATGCCCTGCAATTTGAAGTTGGAAACTGTCCTGGAGTGACATTATGTTAACATAATCTAACACTGTATGTCTGGAAACCAATTCCAATGCCTAGGAATCAAGCAGAAGGTAGCTTATTGCAGTCAGATATAAATACTTGATTATGATCACTGGATTTAATCCAAGAATGAGAAAATAAAGGAACATAAAAATTTCTGCAACAACCTAATCTATTATTCCCACCGTCTAAACTCTCAAGATGCAGAAAACATCTAGACAATTTAAATATAATAATCTATCTTTTTCTTATGAACCATTAGTTGTACTTCTTTTATCAGGTTATTGAACAACATTCTGTAAGATTCTAGGTAATTTAAGAGCATTTGGCAGGGAAAAAAAAAAAGTACATCAAGCAGGCAATTTAATGTTTTCATTTGAGTCCCTTATACTTCAATCAAATGCTTCAATAGGGTATCAGTGAAAACAGAAAGTATCTCAATGTAAGCAGAAGTTAGAATTTTAGAGAACGTACATCACAGCAATTCATTAAATTAATGACTTGAAGGGGGAAAAATGGCCAACATCACTTGGTCAAAAATCTATAAACCCTAAAGCTATGAAACTGCAGTATAGAAATATTCATGTCAAAAGCTAAACTGTGAAAACTGCTGTAAACTCCTAAAGCAAATGGGTCTTCCCCAGACAATTTCAAAGATGTGATATTTGAAAAATACAATAGAAGGAGTATTTTTTTTTCCCCCACAGTTCCAAACTACTAATATCTGTAGAAACCCTGCTGCATGATCTGAACATTAATGGCCAAGAACAGCAAATGGATATGAAAGGGTCAAACTAGTCTAAGTTTCAAATATATATTTCTTATGAAGCCAAATTCTACTAACCAGTTTATGGTTGAGCATAAAGTTGGAATTACCCTTCTTCATCTTCTTAAAGACAAACCAGGGTATACATATGTCCGTAAGACCATTGCACAGAAACAAAATAATATCATAGGACCAGAAGCTCATTTTGCTGTATTTAACCTATAATCTAGTAACATATTGATCTGAGATTCCTCTTCAAAACACATGGATAAAAATAAGAAACTAAGGAGGAAGCAAGTAAAAAAAATAAGAGAAAGAGGTGTTGAAGGAGCTCATTATACTGAATGGGAGCTAAAACTACTGCTAAAAATATAGTAAATATATGTATAGCAACGCACATGAAGAAAAACAATATTATCTTTCCCCATACTGTAATACGATATGAACAGGTGATCACTACTCAAAATTTAGATCTCGAAATTTAGATGTCGAACAGAACTGTTTTTGAGCAATTAGGTTAACAAAGATTCATTGGTCTGGAAAAGAAACTGTTGAGGGAATTGTATGACTGAGGTACGTGAAAAAGTAAATAACCCAGAAAGAGGTTAAGAAACAGTGGTTTACTTGTCATTTTCACATAAGTAGCAGGGGATTGATTAAGAGACAGTAGGACAAAAACAGAAATGAATGTGTTAGTCTATATAACAAACTGGCTCAGGAAGCACCTATGTCAGAAGTCACTAGAGGTGTAGGAAATATTCCCTAGAAGTAACTGTATGTATTTCTTCTGCTCTTGCATTTTCTTGAGGGCATGTGCTGAGAACAAGCTTTTGGGCTGGATGGTTCGTTGACTCAGTGTAGTGAGTTGGCTGACCTTCAAGACATTTCTCCACTATATAGCTGCTGCTGCTGCTGATCTTGAAAACTCTTCACATCACTCCTCCAAAGCACTAAAATAGAGATCATCTCTGTAATCACAGCTCGATCATTTTATACCTTCAGTTTTCTGCTGAGGTCTCCAACAATTTTGCCGATTTATGCCAATTTTCTTGTAACACCTGCCCATTAAGAAATGGATTGAACACAAAGATCTCATTTTTGACAGAAAAAGAATCAAGTTTTAATGTCAGAAAAACACTACCTACCTGGGATAGCTGTGTACTGTTGACCTGGAGGAGGGTCTGACTCTGTATCCTATTAGCAATCACTGACCTATGAATGACACTGTAGGCAAGTGCTTTAGTGCCTTCTTAAACAACTATATAGCAACTCATTGTGGTGCAACCAGAAAGTCTTCCAAGAAGTAGAATAAGTCCAGAAAGTCCTTCACTAATGGGAAGATGTAATCAGACATGTCTCTATAATTAAGTTTCCACTGAGAACATAGGAAGGGAAAAAATACCAGCTGGCTGCAACTGTCAGTTTTTCATCTTTTTGTGACATATAATTTGCAGAATTTGGGAAACTCAGCTATTTTACCTTACTTTCTTTTAAACCGTCTTTGATATTCAATCTCTGCAAGAAAAAATATCATGTCATCAGAAGAAAGTCTTTCTGAACCCTCTCTAGCAATTGAAATTCCAGTTGCTGCTAGGGCCCTACCTTGAAAGCAGCCACAGCTATTTTAGGTTGATACAGGTTTTTCATTAAACATGGGCTTCAAGAAGGCTGAAACTGGGTTAACTCACTTGGAATCAGAAATACTCATGGTCACATTACTCAGCATGATTAAGCTTGGTTTTAAATGTATTTTTAATCTCTTTAAATATTACAGTGTCTGCTTTGATGAAAGGCAAATGATGCCCCATCTTTGGAAGTATCCAAGGCCAGGTTGGACGGGGCCTTGACCAGCAACCATCCTAAATGCCATCATGCAGCACATGCAGGACAACTAGCTGACCAGGTACAGCCAGCATGGCTTTTGGAAAGGCAGATCCTGCTTAATGAACCTGATCTTCTACTGCAAGACCTACTGGATGAGGGAAAGGCTGTTCATGTTATCTACCTGGACAGTAAGGCTTTTGTTACTGCGTCCCACACCATTCTCTTGGAAAGGCTGGCAGCTCATGGCTGTATTTATCACTGGGTGAAATCTGGTTGGTGGCTGGGCCCAGAGAGTGCTGCTGAATGGAGCTACATGCAGCTGGGAGCTGGTCACAAGTTGCGATCCCCAGAGCCCACTATTTGGGCCAGTACTGTTTAACATCTTTATTGGTGATCTGGAGGAAGGGATCAAAGGCACCTTCAGTCAGTTTGCAGAGGACACCAAGAAGGGTGAGTGCTGATCTTCTGGTAGGGTAGAAGGATCTGCAGAGGGATCTGGATAGACTTTATCCACTGTATGAGGTTCAACAAGGCCAAGTGCCAGGTCCTCCATGTGGGTCACAATGATAACCTGCAGTGTCACAGGCTAAAGGTAGAGTCATTGGAAAGGTGGAAAAACAGCACACAGGGTGTGCTGTTTGACAGCTAACATGAGCCAGGATGTGCTGAGGTGGCTATGAAGGCCAATGGCTGGAGAAAAGGCAGCTCTAGGGGTCCTTTTTGCTCTCTACAACTACCTGAAAGGAGGTTGTAGCCAAGTAGGTGTTGGTCTCTTCTCCCAAATAACAAGTAATAGAACAGGAGGAAATGGCCTCAGTTTCACCAGGATAACTTTAGGTTGGATATTAGGGAAAACTTTCACAGAAAGGGTTGTCAAGCATTGGAACAGGCTTAAATGGTTGAGTGACTGTCCTTGGAGATATTTAAAAGATACATGAAAAAGACACCTAGAGACATAGTTTGGTGCTGGACTTGGCCATTTTTGATTAAGCTCAGGTTGCATTTATTA